TGGATCCCCTGAGACATGACTGGAACACTTCCAGATGTGCGGGGCAGGTCATGGAAGCGTGGCCAGGGGATCTCAGTCTGGTTCCTCATCCTTTCTTGCCATTCTACTCTATCACTGATCTACTTCCCAGCCTGATGAAATGTGCAAGAGAAAGAGGAAGAGAAAGGCTCATAATCCCTTTGTCACCCCTGGGGCTTGTAAGATTCAAATTTGACTTTACTCTTCCAATATCCAATGTACTTGGCCAGCAGAAGCAGTACTCACAGCAGAGAACTCAGCTCAGCACCACAGCTGTCACTGGCAGACACAGAATCTGGTAAAAAAGATAAGGTAAGGCAAGGAATTTTGTAGGCCTGGGAATATCTGGAAACATCTGGAGATAACCTGAAAATTAACCAAGACACTTCAATGACTTTGTCCACTAAGGTACAAGACAGCCAGATAACTCTGACCACAGATGTTTATTAAAATCTTCCTGCCTAATGCTCCCTGCCTTTTTTCCATCCCTCTAAAAGAGTCACACTTCTCTTTGCTCCTTACAGATGGTCTTTCTGTTTTCAGTCCGCCTGCACCTAGGCACAACAAATTCCATACCCTGTTGCCTTCACAGAAGCCTGGGGGTCTCTGCGGTGTCCCCGCTCCACTGTACCATACGTGGTAGGACTGAAGCCTTGTACTGGACCCCATCATGTAAAACATGCACTACTTTGCAACAGCACTAAGCTGAGACCAAAGCTTTGAATACATGAGCTTTGGGTGGTCAACATCCAACCTATAGCACCACTTAAAAGATAAAGCTTTTAAGAAAAGGAAATTAATCATATGCACTTTGAAAAAATATATCTCAAATAAAATAAAATAGGAATGTAAGAGGAAAAGAGATGAAAAAGATATATGACTAAGCACAAATAAAAAGAATGCAGTAGGCTAGACTATGACATATGACTTTAAATCAAAGTAATTTTTAAATATCAAAAGCAGATAATAGTAAAAGAAAAATACATCAAATATACTTATCATATATCAAGGAATATGCTATGAGTTTTACACTCACAAAATACATGTAGCAAAAACTAACAGAAATGCATTGAGAAATGGCAAACCTACCTTCTTCCAGGCCATTGTTCATGTTTGCCAGTGATTGTTCAAACAGACCGGAATAACCATCAAATTATAGAAAATATAAACATTAATTTCCTTCTAATGCATACACCAGAAAATCATACTGAATGTTTAAGAAATTTACATTTTTATTAAATACATGTGAAAAAAATTAAAATTCTCCTGTATGAAACCATGAGAAGATGCTCAAAAATATCGAAGAATCCATATCGGAGATAATGTTCTCTGATATCAAAACAATCATCAAAAGACTGTATTTTAAATTTTTTTATTTGTAAATAGTAAAACTTGTATCTATCAAACTAATTGATAATGGAAATCATAATTGGAGTAAAATAAGTTAACAGAATCAATAGAAAGTGTGAGAATTATGCATAAATATAAAGAAAATCAAATTAAATATCAAGATACATTACATTTATAAATTTAGAAAAAACTCAAAAAGATTTAAGGTTTAACTCACACAATCAGAAAAAGAACAAAGGAGCAAATAAAAAAAAATACAGTGAGCCACATAATTCCAATTGCAGATTGCTATCTTGAGATATCTCAGAGAAACTAGCCAATTGCGTACTACAAAGAAAGACAGTGAAATATCAAAGCTAACAACTAGATCAAATTTTAAGTTTTACATGTTTTTGTGATAATTATATACAGATGAAATATTTTCACAGATATTATACCATTTTCTGAGTGTTAATAAATGAATATTACTGTTAGAATGTTACTGTTAGTGTTCATAAATGAACATTACAGTGCCTGAGGAGGAGGTGGCTGGGGAAAGAAATATGGGCCCTTTCTCCTGACCTTTGCAGGCTGCAGAGTGGACAGTAGCTGGGCTAAAGAGGCTTTCTGGAAGAAATTGACATATCCTCTCATTCAGAAATTGAAATAAATAAAATCACAAGTAATAAATTTTATAACATATCATTAATGGAACTACTATTTATGAAAAAGATATAAAATTCATGCTTTTAAAGATGTTGCAACATATAAGGGTTTCTTATTGCCAGGTCAATGGAGGCGTGAGGCAACATCTAAAGACTGAGGCTGTGAGAAAGATGAGATTTTATTTATCTGCCTACAGGCAGGCTGGCCTCAGAGTGATATCAGCAGCTATCTGGAGAGGAAACTGAGTATATATAGGAAGTTCGGATTGGGGTTGGAACTTCAAAGGGCCTCAAAGAATCTGGACGGAATGTTTGAAGTCTAAACTGCAGAGGCAATCAGGCCAGGTGTGTAGACAGAAATGGCTCAAGGAGGACTTTAGGTCTGTCCTTTATTGAGTATCTTTATTGCCCTTATTTCTTATTTACCAGGGCAACCTATTGTTTCCCACTACTTAAAGGGGAGACAATCAGACTTGCATGTGTAAACACAGAATTGCCTGGATAATATAACATACTGAAAGAGAAATAAGATTCAAAAGTTACAATAGATATATTAAAAGTGAAAGAACTTCTCAAAGGAAAATTTTATTGTTTGATCAGTCTTGCATGCCTGTATCTGGTAGCCTGAGAAATTACTTTAAGGATAACAATATGTGTGTAACTCCTGTAAATTCCTATCATCTAGTTTTGAAATCCTGTATTTCCATTGTTTTTGTTGTTCTTAGTGTCATCATTTTGCTTTTGTTGTCTTTTAATTGTTGGATTCTTGATTTTTCTTTTTAAAATTAAAAAAAAAAAAAAGATAAAAAGGGAGACAAAGGATCTCTCAGCTCTCTCTGAGGTCAGACTTGACACTAACAGATCCCTTGAGTAGGAATTTCTCCTATTAAGACCCTGATTAACAATGGTATAAGTTAGTATTTTATTATTTGCTGAAACTCTGTTCTATAATAAACTTTTAGTAAATTAGCACAACAAATTGAAATTTTCTTTTTTCCTAGCCTGGTAGAACTATGGGAAGAGACTCAAAGCAGGCTTTTTTTCTTTCCTATTCTGTAGCTCAAAAGAGGCAAAAGCTGTGTCTCTCCCTCAAAACTTTTCAGACTTTTTGTAGAAAGCACCATTTACAAAGAAATGGGTTGGGGCTGGAGGTTTAGCTCAGCGGCATAAGCGCCTGCTTTGCAAGCAGACAGTTGTGAGTTCGATCCCTGGTACTGATAAAAAGGAAAAAGACAAAAAAAAAAAAAAAAAAAAAAAAAAAAAGTAAGGGGTTATGGGCCTGGATCAGGAAATGAGAAAATCCTTGATCTGCTAAGGAATGAGGAAGACCTTTGTTTCCCTTTGCAGAGAACAGAGAAGTCTTTCAGGAAATTACAATCCTTTGTCAACTAATTTGAGCACTCAATTTTAGCTAACATCTGTCCTTTGCTGCAGAGGGGAGCCATGATTAACATATCAATTAGGTCACCCAGGAAGATAGCACATACAGAACAGTATGATAGCCCTATAGGTAATTTGGTCACATAACTTGGGCACTGGTAATCCTAACACAAACATAATGAAGCTCTTTTTGTTAGTGTATAACACCTATTTCTAACAAATAACCAAAATAGAATCTGCACATTATTACCTATCCTGAGGGAATTTAGGAATGAACAAATTCAGCAGAAAGAAAACAATCCCAGGGTTTACTGCAGAGCCCACTTGAAATTTCTTTCCTTGGGTGCACTGAGTGGCACCATAAACCTAGACACAAGTTTATGAGATGTTATTATGCTGTGCACCTTTCACTACTTGTAGAGCTCCAATTACTGAAAACAAAGTCCTAAATACACCACGCAGGCTTGACTTCATAAATTTGGATCTACAGAAGTCCAAAAGAGAAAGAATGAGGAAGGAAAAAATAAAATCATGTTTTCAGAGAAAAACATGCTATACTTGAAAGGGTTGCTGGCCCAGACTGGACACTATAGCCAGAAAAGCCTCAGCTGGAATTAGGGAGCTCCTGCCTCCCCGGCCCCTAGAGATTTACCTGTAACCCTATATCCCCACCCTTAGAAACCTGCCCCTGGCGCCAAACGTGTGCCAATGTAATGCCTGTGCATCTCTAATGGCCTTAGGGCACTGTCCTAAGCTTAAGCTACTTATATTCCCCATGCCACGTGTCCCAGGGAGAGATCACTGGCCCCGGGGTGGAGATGCCACGCCCCAGGGGGTCAGGGGTGTCTCTCCCCGCATTCCCAAAATAAAGATTACTTGTATTTTATACTTCTTATCTTTTCAGTCACCACCACCAGTCCTCCCTCTCCTATTCCTCCTCTCCATAGATCTATCAGATGGTGCCGTGACCGGGGACAGCAGGTGAGAGACTCCTGGGGCTGTTTCCCAGTTTCGTGTCCCCTGCTATTCAAAATCCACCGGACTACATCCTATAATTCCTCACTTCTACACTCAGCAATTGTATGCTTGGCTGCTGGTTCTCAAACAACACCCACCAATTTACCACGGGTGAGCAACTCCCCGGAGACAGCCACTGAGCCAGGCTCATGTGGATTTTCTCCCCTCTTTGTGTGGGTTCATGACCCTTTCACGTCTTTTGGACAGCCCAAACCTAGGCCCTCACGTTTTTTCCAGAGCTTTTGGGGCTTTCTAGGCAAACTGATATCCACTCTGGACAGCCCACACTGAGAGACCCTCACTTTAAAGCTTTTTACCTATGCTTCAAGAATGTGCACCTTTCCCGCCAGCTTCCCTGTCCCTTTGTCTCCTCCAGGATCCCTCCCCCTCCCTGCACTTAAAGAGATAACAGTCTTCCTTTGTAGCCTTTTGGACCCCCAACCACGCTGCCAGCGTCAATTTGTTTCCCAGCGCGGCTTCCCCTCCCCCCACTGCGCTGCCAGCTTCCTTTTGTTTCCCATGCACGCCAACCCATCCCCTGCTGCCGAGATTAAAATGAGACCAGACAGTAAGAGATTCACATAAAACTGCTTTAGATTTTAAACAGCTTTTTTCTTTTCACTCTCACATCATGTCCCAATTCTATGGGCCCCACAGTTTCAGTTCCTGGTCCAGCCCGTTCTGCGCTGCGCCGGCTCATTCGTGCCGGTGCTGGCTCATTCCGCCGCTGAGAGATACCCATGAGACTGTCCACACCACGGGTTCGGCTTTTGGTGCCACGCCCTCGCAAACACATCGGCTCCTACAGGTTGCCACTCGCTGGGTGCCGGTCTTGTGCCTCTGGAAGCAGAGCCCACTTGGCCTCAGGCTATGCATCTCCCGCCGCCGCCGCCCCACCCCTCCAGGGCGCCAGAAGCGAGCTGCTGCTGCCGCCATCCATCTGTGGCGCCAGGCACCACCTCTGGCCACCACTACAGGCCTCCAAGCCCCACCCCCATGGGTGGTCGAAGCTGAAATACATTATCTTAGCATGTCATAGCAGCATCTAGGTGGGATCTCTGCCCGCCCCTGAGTGCTTTGTCCCAGCGTTCGCCCCGCCCACTCTGTGTGTTCCATTTCAGCCCCCCCCCCTGCACACTGTGTGGTGGTGATCACCCTGCCCCAAGCACAACTCTGCTCTCTTCCTACAGACACAGTGTATCTCAAAATTTCAAACTGCCTTAAACACTGAGAGTTTCCAAAGTCTCGTGGCCCTGCTCAAACATTTTTTTTTTATTAAACTCCTACATACTTAATTCTACAGATAAATTTTACTATAGTCCAGATCTCAAACAACAAGGCAAAACTTAACCTTCAAGCTCCACAGAGACCTTGATATGGTTTTTCATATTTTAAATAACACAGTTCTGAGACAGACAAATCTACACAAGGTAAAGCTACCTGCCCCCCCCCCATGGTCCACACTCAAATGCAACAGAAGACATCAAACAAAAAATGCTTTACCCTGGCATTCTTTGAGACCTTACTCCAGGACTGTTGGGCTATCCTGGCCACTAGAGAGTGGCTGGTCCATCCTAACTTGTAGCCCTCACAGGTCACAGGGGCCAACCGCCTTAGTGGGTGTCTGTCTCAGTGTCCAAGTCACATTAAAACTTTCAAGGTAAGACATTCTCTATATTCGTGGACATAAGAGGCCACATATACAGAGTCCTTACTGAGTTTTTAGGCTAATAAATCCTCAATGTCTCATGGAGTATTAAAGGTCAACCTATGCCAGTTACAAACAGGGCCTATTTTATACAGGCCCCAGTCCTAAATCTTAAAATGCTTTTATTCCCTTTTAAACTGCCATCCTGGTTTCGCATCACTCAGGTCCTAGATCTAACATCTCTGCCTTACGACTCACAGGTTTTCATGTTTTGTTATCCACTTTGGTTCTTAATTTCTTACATTCTATTAATGATCATTTTTATAGCAGGACTCTTTAACAGGATTGCCTACAGACTCTGACGTCATATATACCAGAGACAAGCCTTACCTACCTACCTTTTAACTTTTATGCTCTCATATGGGGGAATAAGCACCTCTCATAACTTCACTCCTCCTAATCCCACATTTAATTTTTCAGAATTCTGCCTTGCCATAAAAATATTCCTACCTCAACATCATCCTGATAAAATAACATGTCTAAATCAAAGGCATCTTTCCTTCTACCTCACTTGGGTCCTTAAATATGACAGTGCCATGTCTCCTGATAACATCTTGTCTCTTTGTTTTTTTCTAACATACGTGCATTCATCAGTGAAGTTGTCCTGGCTAAAACACCTGCCACCACCTTCTACCTAGACATCAACTGTCATCCCGTTGACTCCCCTAGACCCCAGTACAGCACCCTCAGCCAGCAGGAAGTAGTTAAAGGGAGAAATCTTTGCCCCTTTTCCTAATAATCATAAGACGGGATATGAAAGGGTTGCTGGCCCAGACCAGACAATATAGCCAGAAAAGCCTCCGCTGGAATTAGGGAGCTCTTGCCTCCCCCACCCCTAGAGATTTACCTGTAACCCTATACCCCCACCCTTAGAAACCTGCCCCTGGCACCAAACATGTGCCAATGAAATACCTGTGCATCTCTAATGGCCTTAAGACACTGCCCTAAGCTTAGGCTACTTATATTCCCCCATGCCACGTATCCAAGGGAGAGATTGCTGGCCCCAGGGTGGAGATGCCATGCCCCATGGGGTCTGGGGTGTCTCTCCCCACATTCCCAAAATAAAGATTACTTATATTTTATACTTCTTATCTTTTCAGCCACCACCGCCACTCCTCCTCCTCCTCTACCCCTTCACAGATCTATCAATACTTATCTAAGCTTTGATTCACTGTCAGCAGTGACCCTTAATTCCTTTGAGAGGTTAATGATCATGATTGTGGTGTCTTAAATTATCCTGGCATTTGGCCAATATTGATTTATAGTTCCAATCAGTGGGCTGGAATGGGGCTGAAAGAGGGCAAATGTTTCCTGTCTTTAGATTCTTATCCAAATTGCATGCAATTGTAAAGAGTATGCTTGTCTTGCTGCAGGCAGCTGAGTTAGTTAGAAATATTATAGGCAGAGAGACAGGGCTAGGTCCTCAAAGGAGCCTGTGCAGATACTTTATAAGTGTAGGGGAGACAGACACCTCTTGCTGTGGGCCAGACCTCCAGACAAAGGATCAAACAAATGCATCTACACCATAGGTACTGAGATTCTAATTACTTCCCTATCACCCTGGAGTCACTATCCTATCCCCCTAGGAAAAGGTCACAATTCTAAGAATGCTCTTCTCTTCCTAGGTGACTTGCTGGCCCATTTGTCCCTAATGTAATCAATTTTACCAGAACTATTAATCTTATTGACTGACTGTAGCTAGTTCTACCTTATACCCATCTGCCTTGTGAGTTCCCAGTTTTCCTCTCACCTTGAACTCATGGTTTTAATCTATAAAAGTCCCTGGAAAAGACAGAGTCTTGGGCAACCCGCTCCAGACCCCTTTGTCTGTCTTCAGACAGAAGCTTTCTTTCCTTCAATAAATATATTCTATGCTTAACCTCCATTGTTCCTAAAATTCATTGTTCGGTTGTAGAGAACAAGAACTCGCGGACATAGTAAGTTGGGAGTTTCATTCCTCTATATCAATGGGTCTTACAGATACTTTAATATATTACTATATTATACAGTTTCTCCACATTTCCATTCTTCTGCAAATGCTATGCTGTTATTTAATAATTGCTAAGGCTTCCAACACTAGGTGTAGTTCTACTTTCAGAAAAACTATAGCTCTGCTTGTCAGCCACTTACATATTCTAAATGAATTATAAAGGTTAAAGATGATTTTGACTTTTTCTCCTTTAGGCTGAGAGAACAGAAATAGGTTGAATTATGAACCTTCTCAGTTAATTTCTTTTCCTTCTTTAACAGTAGTCTGTGAATATCTTCTAGTGCCTCTGACAAACTCTGAAAGAAGTTAAATTCTATATCAAAGCAGCACTTGCCAGATGAATCTCTGAAAGGAAGAGTACGTCATGTACAGAAGCTTTATAGGAAGTGGCTCTCAGAAGGTTCCTCTTGGTCTAGTGTTCACAGTGGGATAAAAGGCCATGGCGTCTGGGCAAAAATGCCAAGTTTAGCTTTGTTATATCCCCAGAGCATTTTGAAACACAAAAATTGAATCCTATCCTGATTTTATTCATTCATTCTCTTCTAAATTATTAAGATGACCAAGTAAGGTTTATATTTTATATTTGAAAGGACTCACACAATGAGAAAACACTTAGAAGCTGGAATTGCATGGACATTTGTGTGTGTGTGTGTACTGTCTTTCAATTGGGTGTCAGGTGAAAATAGTGAGAGGTTTTACATGAAGAATTATATTCTTGGAAAATTTGAATGCATGTGTTTGAAAATATATTCAGATTTCTAGTGGTTTTATTATTAGAAACCAAAAATGGTTTCCTTGCTATAGTTAAAGTCAGACTAGCAGTTTCCACGAGTGACATAAATGTATGGAGAAGGCATACTACTGAGATAGTTTGAGATTGATTCTAGCAAACCTAGAAAAACATTAAGAATGTTAAATAACATTAACTAGCAACTCGAAAGTCAAATGAGGTGAATATTTTTGTTCCTATCTAGTAACAAACTGCACAATCACCACTAGAGGCACTGCTCTTGAGGGAAACAGGAAGTCTGAGAAAGCATGCTCAGGAAGGAAAGGGAAATATAGAAGAGAGTGGTGCAACTTACCTATAGGAAACATTGCTCTCCATTTGCAAGGTTCTTAAATTTTACCGTTATGCTTCAGGCAGCTAATGAAGGAAATGGAAAGTCACATGAGCATTGATGTTTGCTTATTCTTTTGAATAGTAGACCTAAAAGTATGTTAAATCAGAGGGTAAAAAAAATCAGAAACATTTATGATAAGTTGAATAACATTTTATCCCTCATTATCTCTTCTTCTCGAAATTTTATTGAAAATTGATTGTAAGAACACTGTAATTATTTTTGTTTTTTGAAAGCACAGAAGTTTCTCCTAAGAAAACCAGGGCACATGTACTCAAAAGGATATTCCCAAATATGTAGGCCGATGGTCTCTACAGGCTATGTACAATTTTATCAAAACTGAATGTGAATAAGTTCATAATTCCAAAAATTAGAATTCTTATAGGTAGTTAGTTGCTTCCTTCTTTCTTGGAACTCATATTAAAGGTGACATGATATAGTTTGAAATTTCCAGGGGTAAAGATGGAAAACTTCCGTCTTTAGTTTACTGTCATATCTTGGTTTTCTGAGCTTTGATACATTATTTAATTGTGTTTTTCTTTACTTTTTTCAATTGACTGTGACAATACTTATGATATTTAGTTATGTGAAGGTGAGTATACATGAACAGAACTGACAACATTCTCTAGTATATTATTTGTGTCCTCGAAGATCAGAACGTCATATAAATAATACATATTTGATAAACATTATTATAAACAAAGGTGAAAGACTAAAATTTATATCTCTAAATCTTATGTAAATAAAAATTATATACAATTACTTGTATTAGTTTTGTCACGTTTTAATCATCAGCAGTAGTAAATACCTCTGATTGCTTGAAACACTAAAGAACTTAATAAATAGATACCCATTGAGCCCTGAAATCACTGTGAAATTTTCTAATCAGAATGAGGGGCCACAGAAGCCAGTGTGGAAACTTTACTATGGAGTACAGTTGTTCTCAAACCTCTAACTAACCCTAATGCTAGGCTGTCCGAGTGTCTTAGTGTTTCTACAAAATTAACCAGAATGAAAATGTTCTCATCTGTCTCTGCTGATGTTATTCTGAATCTAGTTCTGGGGCTGGTCTGTCTTTCTGAGAACGTCTAATTGCCTGAATCCTAAATTCCAGGGAGAGTGAGGAAGTGAGTACATTGTATATTCTGCATCTGAAATAAGTAATGTGCTCTGTCACCAAGCAAGACATCAGAAATATCTGGAATCTATGACTGAGAGGACTTCAATTAGAACAGGCAAAAATAAAAGTGAAACAGGTCAATGATTAATGACATATGTAGAAAATGTACAGTTATCAAATCAGAGAGTTATGTTTTGGGATTTTTTTTTTCATGTGTACTCTGGAATTCAACTCAGGACCTTGCACTTGCTAGGCAGGTGCTGTGCCACTAAACTATGTCCCTGGTCCAGCCATTGATTTATTTTATTTTATTTTATTTTTGTTCTGTTTCAGTTGTTCTGGAAAAATGCTAGTAGTTTTCCCTCTTATCAAACTGTATTTTAGAATCTATTAATCAACCTACCCCTTTAACCCTGGCATTTAATGATCATTAGTCTATACCTACTTCTCTGAAATCAATGTTTTACTTTTCATATATGACTGACAAAGAATAGTATTTGTTTTATTGTATACTTCTTTTTATGATCTGATTTTCATTAGTAAATTCTCAGCATAATTTATGATTCTGATCTATAATAAAACATCATTTGGGCTTAGATATATAATTATTAGTAACAGAATGTGTCAAGTTCATATAATTGCTTAAAATTTATTTTACATGAACCTTTCTATTAGTAACTATTGAGAGTGACTAACTTCAATTAATTTTGCAAAACGATAATTGAGTAATTTGCATTTCAATGTAGCAGTGGCAGTATTTTGCAGCCTCGTTGACTTTCTCTCATTTACTGTTTCTCTCTTTGAGTGTTTTTAGCAATTGTCAAAATACATATCTCTAGATTCAGTCTGATGAGTACAACCCTTAGGTATTTCTAATACAGTTATTTAGGCATTCTTAGTAATTTGAGAAACAGTAGGTAATAATAAATGGCATCTTTTTTTGTATTGCTATCTAAAATCGAGGAAAAATATTTATGCATTGAGGTCAAAGTGGCAATATATTCTTCAATGAGGAATAAAACCACAAATTCAGCTTTCTATATAGAATCACTAAGTTCCTCTTTATAGAATCACTAATTTCCGCTTTAACATGAAACTCAGTTATAATTTATATTGCTGGAATTGTTGAGATTTCGTAAACATTTTTTATTTAAAGCCTGGGTTTTGGCTCCTTGGCACAAGTGCCTGTCTGATAAGAACAAGGTCATGAGTTTCATCCCCGGTACCAAAAAATTAAAACAAAAGTTTTTTTTCAACTTAAAGTCAGGTATCAGATTTGTATATTGTATTACGTGAAATTATAAATTTTATGTTAAACAGATTAAACTATTTTTGAAAGGCATGTGATTCATGTAGTTTACTCTTACAATTTAATTACATATTAAGTATAGGTTTCTTCCTCACCCTCTCTTATATCAGTGGTATAATGTTTAAACTCTAAACAAATTTGGAATATCATGAGACGGTAAAATTTCAAAGATTCAACCAAATGTTTTCCTTTTGAAGTGTTTAAGTTTCTTTATTTGATATCTTTTCTGAATTTCATAAAATGTCATAGTGAAATAATGAATTATTAATAAGACTGGTTACATTGAAACCAGTATAACATCACTTTATTCTATTTAGCAAACTTTTCTAGCTGTTTTTCTTTATTGTTTTCAAAACACTTCTTCAACATATCCTTTGAAAAGTGATTTCCAAAGGTAAACTGAATTCTTATCTTACACTTTTCCGAGTCTCTGATTTTACTGCCAGTATGTTAGAAATGCCACCAAGAAGGAACTTATCTGAAATGTCTAACACTTCCACTTGGGTGACCAGAGTTTCCCCAAAGTATTAGTGGGTACAGATGGGTTTGTAAGTCTTCTTATCATGTGATAAAACCAGAAATAAAAAGGAACAGTGCATATAGCCAGTAGATTTATAAAACTAGTGGAAAATGTATTTAAAATATGTTCATTTATATCTCAACATCTTAATATTTTAACTACATGCAAACGGTATGTTTTAATATACTCTTTAATAATCAATTATTTGCAAATAAAAAAAAAAACTACTACATATGAAAATGACTGCCTAGGAGGATAATAACGATTTACAATTTGAGAGTTTACAGAAAGTACTGTATACAGGTTTATTTCCCAATTGTCTACATCAACGTATTATTTAATTGAAACAAAATGTTTAGTCTATAACATTTTTAAGGTGCTAGGAGAGCTCCTGGTTTCAAGTAAAATGAATAAAAAATTTTGAATTCTTCTTTACTCAATTTCATTTGTTTTGAAGCTCCTGCCTTGCTATAAGATAAATATTTTACACTTTGAAGCAATACTTTATTTCCAACAACTGGACAAGCTTTCCTTTATTACCACAACAGGAAACATATCTTTGTCAAGAGGGCCAACAAAAAATAAAACAATAAATAGGAGCAGTACAATTCTAGCAACAAACACAGAGTCTTTATTAGAGGAAGAGAAAATAAACATTATGTAATGGCAAATATACAGATTCATGATGAGATTTGAATTTGGTCATGCTATGAATTTAAATATCCTGCAATTTGTATTGCATTATATATGATGCGGCTATTCCTCCTCCACTTCAGCCTAGATTCAGAGAGCACACAGCTGGAAAGAAAATAAAAATTCGTGACTGTGGAGTTAATGCTCAACAGATGTGAAGGTTACAGTTGTTTCACTGATCTTCCAAAGAGAGGCTGCAAAGAATTTGAAACAATTCTAGAAAACAGGACCTCTGGCTGAATCTATCCAAAAACAATTAAAGAGTTGAAATTTATGAAAGCCATTGACAGAGTAAAACTCATTCAACCAAGTAGTTCTAATTCAATAAATTTTCTGGTTAGTTCATTCTCTGATTTTTTTCTCTGTATTTTTTATCTTCTGTTTACTAGTCTTTATTTTGTGTATGTTTAAGCCACCCTTTGATATAGATAGATAGATAGATAGATAGATAGATAGATAGATAGAGATAGAGATATATATGAATTCTACAAATAGTTGATTCTCAGACTATTTTATTAATCTTTTATACTGATCTTAACATTATTGCTAAATAGAAAGCTTACTGAATTATGTTTCTCTTTTAATTTAGTGATTGGAGCATGTAGATTGTGAACGTCTTACAGGACTACTTTCCTTTTGGTTTGCATACATACATGCACTCTCTCTACTCTTTTATTTATTTATTTTGGTACTGGGCATCAACCTCACGACCATGTGCTTTCAAGACAGGGGCTTATGCCGCTGAGCTAAATCCCAGCCCCTGCTCTCTCTATTCTGGGAAATAGATTGAGTCTTCTCCTCTGCTGTACAGTCACATGGACCCAACCCTCATGCTATACAGGTATGAGTTTAACACCAATATATGACACTGGAAACTGAGACAGGTGTAAGTTTAACATGAGTTTAACACAAATATATGACACTGTGGATTGCACAGAGTATGAGTCACATGGTATCTGGCATACCATTGTTGTGCCACCCAATTCTGTTGATATTTGATAACACATTTCTGTAGGAAGTTTTCATTTTGACTTTATATATCTGAAAGCATATAGTTCATGATGAGCATTTCTGTTCTTCTGAATAGTTGATGTAACAAAGATGTACTGCATCTGTCAGAACCATTGGCACATCACAAGTATTTTCTTCCAGTGTTATATATTTTCTGCACCAATAACAAAGTATGTTCCAAAACAATTCATATCTAAACTAACATATTTTATTGGGGCTTTCTATTTCTTCATCATTTGTCCATTTTATACATGTCCTATAGTTTCATATATGATTTGACACAGGTTACTTCTGTATATTAATTAAAGTGACCAATGCTGCCATGAACATGCAAATACGGATAAAAAGAATGAATGAGTCAATAAGCTTGACT